GGAAGCTTGTGAAAGGTCCAATATCAAGAACTTCCCACATCTCATCTTGCAGGGCACAGAGATGTGCTTTCATCCGGATCCTCCAGTCATCAAACTTAAGATCTGAGAACATAAGATTCTTGGACAAGGAGTGATCCATTATATCAGATAAAAATGAGGTCAAATAGAAAAACAAGTGGATCTTTGTTCAGCAAATAACCTAAGAGATTATTAGAACAAGGAGGCTCTGATACCACTTGTTGGTCCCGGTTATACTGGATACAGTCTAGAGGGGGGGGGGGGTGAATAGACTGTATTGGTTTTTAGCTTTTTAAACTAAGTACCAGATTTTACAGAATAGCCTGTTCTGTTGACAGAACAGACTGGCAGCGGATGGGGTTCTGGTAGGGGGTTCTGTTGATTTAGCCTCAGAGAAGCAAAAGCAGTAGGCCTTCTGTTAACTCGTAAGACAAGTTCTGCTGAACACAGATACCAAGTCTAGGGAATTAGACAGTTCTAACTAAGTGCAAATATTTAAAGCAGTAAGTAAAAGACACCAGGGATTTTTATAGTGGTTCAAGGAACAACTCGTTCCTCTAATCCACTGTTCCACTAAGCTTGTAAAAACGACCGTTTACAACGCCTGAGTCCTTGCACTTAAGAAGCTCTCCACGTCTTCTTCAAGCCTAGATGTCTCCTGGGATGCACTGCCTGGCTTCCTTTAAGACTGGTCCTTTCACTGAGCTTCCTGGAAGTATCACCACTTCACTACTCCAGTTACTTGGACGTCCTTCTTGTAACAAGAAGAGTTTCTGTTAAAACAGGGGTTCCTCCAACTTGCTTCGTTACAAAAAATTTGTAGATGAAGTTCTTGAAGTTGTTGAAGAACTGTTGGAACCTTGCTCTTGTTGGATTGAATGAAATGAAGTTATATTCTTTCCAACTTGTGTCTCTCTTGTTGAGGATGAAGAGTTTGAATCTCAAGAGGACCGTTTTTGCCTTGAATAATTTGAATGTGTTTTTCTTGCAAAGAATGTGATGAAGTTGGCAAAGTTAGTAGAGCAAAAGTTATCCGGTTGTTCTTCGAAGTGTATCTTTTATACTGAGGGTTGTCTTCCCGTTGGAGGTGAAGGAGGACAACTGCATTTAATGCGCGAGCAGTTGACTTGACCAGTAGGACCCGGTAAAGTTGGCGGGTTACTATTTTGGGATAAAGTAATCCTGACATTGCGGCCAATCATCTGTAATTACTCCACGGAGCATGGGGAGCATTAAATGAGCATTTAATGCGCGTACTGTAGCTTTTCCGTTCAATACTCCTAGCCGTTGAAGGAATCTTTCAGTTGATTTCCCGGCTTTGTGGAATTCTTCCAAGTGTCAGGCCTTCTGGTGTCTTTAGCAGAGAGTTGATCAGAGAAGGTCTTGAGCACTTCTGTTGATAATAGCTTACAGAGAACCAAGATGGTTTCTGTCAAAGAAAAGGTTAACAGAGACCCTGAGGTTTTCTGTCCCTTGGCAGAGAATCAAAGATCTTCTGTCAGGAGATCTTCTGGTGTGGAGGCCTTCTGGTAGTCGATTATGCTAAGAACTTTACAAAGGAAAATTCTAATACATTAAGTCTAAAGAGGGGTACTTTAAAGTCCTAATTAATATAGCATCATCAAAATCTAATTACAAATATTCCTTACCAAATCGACACAAACCGACACAAGTAGTGCGGTTTGGTTTACGGTTTCACCTTTTCTAAAACCGAGATCGATAAAACCGAAATTGACAAAATGATGAAACTGAATTGATGAACACCCCTATAGAAATATTATGATTTATAATTGTGTTTGTTAGTTTTTTTCATGGTTAAGTTAACATAAACCGAACATAAAGTGAGTGACAATTAAGAAGGGAAGTCAAAGCTTTATAGAATGCACACTTGCGTAGAGTGAAAGTGATTGATATATTTTCAACAAGATCATTCGTATCCCTTATACCAGTGGCTGACGCTTAGGAATAGGGGTGTCTAATGGTCCATTGGTCCGCCTCCTTAAATACAATAATAAACATATAATTGTAAATATCATTGATAAAAATAATATACTCGAGATACTCCGTAATATGTATTGATGCATTTAAGTACCGCAACTCCTCAGAATCCCATCAGATCATTAAATGAAGCAAATTGGGAACATAAACTATATATATTGAATTAATGTTTCAATTCATGGTACAAATTAAAAGTTTACCCATACTATTTTACATAACAGTTTGATCACATCATTTATAATTAGTTCACATATGACGGACCAGTGGGCGTAGCTCCACTGGTAGCGAGGGAGTGACACAAGGGTTAAGTCCCGGGTTCGAATCCCGACGACTGCAATAAGAGGTTATTATGCTAAAAAATGCATAAGGCCTCTGCAAGTATCAGGGACAGAGCGTCACTCTCTATCTATCAGATTGCGAATATAGTCCAATTTACATCCTGTCAACGTACCATCCGGTCGGTGTTAGGGCACTCATGAATGGGGTGTCATCTTTGTTTTTCAGTTCATATATCACGGGCTCACAATTGATTTTAAAGAGAAGAATAAAAGAATATGAGACCAATGATAAACAGATAAAGTGATGGGGAGTATATGTTTTACGTCATTGTCATACAGCCTTGTTTTAATAAAATCAAAGATTCAAAATACTATTACTCCGTAGTACGTAATATTTACGTCGAACATATCACATATGACTAAGCTACTTAATTGGTATAATAATCATTATCATTATAAAAATAATAGCCCTTGTCCCAACAATAGTGTCACCTTTCTCTTATTGGAAAGAAATATGTGATTCATAATATTTTACTTTATTATATTCAAATAGCAACCACAACGTTTACCTTTTTAACAACTTTATTAAAAATTGTGCCAAAATCAAATGAGACACATAAAATGGGACGGATGTAGTATGGAGTATCAATTACTAAGGTCACTGGATTTTTTGATCATGCGGGCCGGAATACATCACTATGTCTGTAACACCATCCCCGAGTATATTTACTTTTTAGTAAATCATGTAATAAACCTTGAATAATGACTTATGAATTTACGAGGTTGAAATTTTTTGTTATTACCTTTGCGTGAATAGTGAATTGCACGTGGGGCCCACACCGGGAGCGAGGACCCCCCGATAATTCCGGGACCACATATTATATTCATCTTCGTCTAAGTAATACTACCTACGTCCCATTTATATTTTCCAGGAAGAGAATGGCACGGTTATTAAGAAAAGTGGGTTTGTGTGGTTGATATTAATTGATAAAGTAAGAATGATTTAGAGTTGCAATGCTTTTTTAATAAATTGGAAAGTCTTCCCCGTCGCTTTCCCCACTTCTAGTGGTACTTCTGGGGAAAAAAAAGTAAGAATGATTTAGAGTCGCACAAACTTTGCCAAATATGGTATGTGACATTTTAAGTGGGACTTCCCGAAAAGGTAAAATGAGACAATATAAATGGGACGGAGGGGGTATTTACATGATGGTATATATTTTGGTTGGGTCATAGAAAGGGCATCGGGTTGACCAATTGGTCAGATAAGGCCCAATTATCGGAATCAGTAATTGATTGGATAACAGTCCGAAATTGACTTCGGAGACTTATAAATTAAAGTTTTGGAATATATATTATTTCAAAGGGGCCATCATGATTGAGAGTAAGTAATATATTTTATTTGACCCGATAAAATAAATTATATTTAAAACAGTCCGAAAAATACAACTTTCGGGACCGAATATACATTTCTAGACAAAAAGGGTTGACCTTCCACATGGGTGGGGGCCAACCCACGAATTTGATCATCCAAACAAATGGTTTGGCCGGTTAGAGTAAAGAGGCTAGGGAAACATGAGAGGGGATGGTGATTTGATCAATTTGGCATCAAACAAAAATGAGGTGGCCCCATCCACGCTCATTTGTTCAATGAGACAAAGAGGTAATCCTCACCTCCCTCTCCCTCATCTTTTCGGCCAAGCTACACCCAGGAAGAACAAAAAACCATCCAACTCCTTTTTCCCCATTGTTGAAGGAGAGCTCAAGAAGGAAGAATCTCAAGAAAAGGGATTAAGGTGCTAAAAGTATAAGGAATTTAGGTAATACCCGTATCTTAGCCTTTCCCTTATTTTTCTTCTATCATATGAGATATATATCATGTGAAGAACATTAAAATCATTCTACACATTTAGAAATGTAGAATGAGGGTTGAAAGGTGGTTCTAAGTCCAAGAATGACCGGTTCACTGGAAAATAAACTTTTAGAGGCCATTTGTATTGATATGAGTTTTGTGATGATGAAACTATGTTAGGAGCATAACTAAAGTGTTTCTAGAGTTCGCCGGAGTTCGCCGGAGTCTCGCCGGAGTTTCACCGGAGTTCAACCGAGGAGCGTAGAACGCGCTTAAGCTCATTTAAGGTGAGTGGATGGCTCTTATAACTTTTGGGTTAATTATAAGATTACCTAAATAAATGTTATATGTATTCATAATGATGTTTAAAAGATATTTAAATATGTGATTAGCCAAAATGATTAGGCATGTATGAAATGAAGTACATAAATATGCATGGAATATTATATGAGAATTTGTATGAAATTGCATGCTATGTATGAAAGGTAAAGGAAGCATAGAGTGAATATTATTAACTTAATATATATGACGATTAAGTTGATATATATAAGGCTTGAAATGACGGTTAACGAAAGCGCTGACCGATGGGTAAAGAATTAATTAATACCGGTTGGTATTAGTTAATTATAAATTTATATAAATGCATGGCTTTGCATGAATGAATTGAGATACATAAACTTTATGAATTTATTTGGCTATGAATATGATATAGACTCTATCTAGGTTGATAGGAGGTTAATCATAGGATTATAAATTGGTGGAGGACCCTATTGCAACACCCCTAAATTTCCCGCCCAAAACATTGATATATTTTAAAAGAAATACTTTATTCATTCATCAAAGAGTTGAAGAAATACAGCGGAAGTCTAAAAGGGAAATGAGTGTTACCGCCACATTCGGTCATCTCTTAACCGAATGCACAGGCAACTCAAAGTAAAACAATAAAAACTAATAATAAGTAAATGTGTATTTCAGACTAGATTTAACTAAGGCATCTTCTAATTCGCACTCAAGCTCGAGCAATCCATCAATCGACATAGGCATCCAACTCATCACCTGATAAAATTTAAGGGAGAAGAGAGAGACAAGAGAAATAACAAAAATTAGCTTTAGAGCTAAGTAAGTACTACCCAACCCCGTAAAATAATCAGGTTTGATGAAAATAGATTTTTATATAATATCATATAAAAATGACGCACTCCACCAAAATACTTTTCTCTTTGATTTTTCTTAAAATTACTTCTTTACTAAAATCCTCAACTTCTCTTCGAAAATCTCTTAGTATTTCTTCTCTTTAAACTTCTTAAGAAAATCACTTCTTCTCTAACTTCCTAGTAATTTAGAAGGGCGGTGCTTAACCTTTCGGTAGAGCCCGGTGGACCGTGGTTACGGACGGCCACCCCGAACAAGTGCCGGTACCACAACTGCTCTGTTGGAAACGAAATGACTACCTTAAGTGTGCACACCCCCTAAAAGGGATTCCAAGCCCTCTGAGTAGTAAGTCATCCCGAGTGGTCGGAACCCAACCACCCCAAATTCTAAAATTCTTGAATGATTAGGGACTACTACTATAACTTCTTCTTAAAAGGGATCATAGATCCAAATCTCACTTAAAAGGGATCATAGATCCAAATCTTGCTTGAAACTTAAACTGTACTTAGTAGTAGTAGCTCTAATCACCCTCCACATTTATCCGGATGTGGAAAAACCGACACCTCGGATTACTCCCGAGATGCTCACTTCTTATGAAAATGTAAATTTTATCTTCGCTTAATAATACTTCAAAAATACTTCTTAATTTTTCTAAAAAGTCTCAAAGGTATTTAAAAATATTTAGTACCCCAAAAGTTCTTGATTTATACTTCTTAACTACCATATATATAATATCTCCTCAAAATCACATACACAAAATTCACAATTCACACTTAATCGCATAATGCATATAATAAGCATATAATACGAGGAAACAATTTTGGATTGGCAGAGAAACTTACCTTAAGTCCTGATGCTCCTAGTTATCCTCCTCTAATCCGGTCTCTAGATAATCACCTTTTTAATTAAATATGATAAATTAGTCACTTATTCTATTGGTAATTACTTTACCCGATTTTCTCCTTTTATTTTATTATTCGCATTAACTTAGTTTATTCGAATTTATTAATTTAGTTAATTAATTATTCGAGTTAATCACTTTTTATTAATCAAATTACCTTATTAATTCAGCCATTAATTACAATATTTGAATTCTAATATTAAAATAAAATATCCGAATATAATTATCTACAACATCCAATTTTTATTCAATAATCACCATTAATTTACTCTACTCATAAAATATTATTCAATTGCTTTATTTATATTAACACATTACCTTATGAGTTCAAATATTTTAAATATTTATATGAATTCCGAATCTCTAATAATCAATCATAAAAATTATTAATTGAATTAGTCCACTAATTACGTAATTAAGTTATTTATTAAGTCTACATATAGTCAATTATTTATGCTAGCTAACCCAATCTTATTTTATTTTCCTTATTTTATTCCAACATTATTTTTAGTCCAGAATATTATTTTTCAATCTCAGTGATTTATTTATTTCACCATTAATATTAATATTTCCTTATTTAATTACTTAACTAGTTTTATAAGGCCTAAATTAAATAAATAGCCTAAGAATCGACTTTATAAATTAGTAACCGTCTATAACTATATTTTGGGTCTATATTTGACCTAGGTTGTCCAGATATTTATTTTATAATTATTTCCATAATTATTCATTTAATTTCATATATCTATTAACCGGTTTAATTACAATTAAATATACTACATCTTAATATTTATTAATTATAAATGGTACATAGTGTCCTAGTTAGTCATATATTTATCCTAGTTTACTCCAATATTTATTACATAATTATTTTCGTTATTTAGTTAATTATTTACTAAATGTGTATAAATTGGCCCAATTACAATTAAATCAAGTAAAAATAGCTAAAAATATTATTTTCCAATTCTGGTTGGTCCGAATATGTATATTTATACTAGGTATTTAATTTATATTTTTCCAGATTTTATTTATTTCATTTACTATTTTATTTTTAATTTTTGTTTGCAACTGGGCCGAACTGGCCCAAATTTAATTTTTCTGGCCCAACCTGAAAAAGGCCCAAAATAGACCCCAGCAAATTTCTGGGTTGTCTTCTTCCCCAGGTCGCCGGAAAACGGGAAGAAAGAAGGTGGGGGGGGGGGGGGGGGGGGGGGCTTACCTCGTCGGACGGGTGAACTGTGGTGACAGAGCACTCCCTCGGGACGGCGGAGGTCTGAGATGGTCCGTCGGCGGCGGTGGCAGCTCTCTTTTCTTGCTCCGTTTCCCGTCGCAAAATCAGTCCGGCGAATACTCCGGCGAGCTTGTTCTCCCTACTCCGACGTCCGTTTTCCACGATTCTTTCTCCGTTGGATTCGTCTCGCGAAGGGGAAGGTTTGAGAAGTATTTTCACGGCTTGGTTCTGGCTAAAACGATGGGTCGCAATTTATATATATATATATATACGTATATGTGTATATATGTTGCAGGTTTTCGGGATGAAGGAAACGCAGGTTCTGGCCTACTATTTATAGGGAAAGATGAGGGTTTTAGGCTGAGATGTTAGAGTTTGTGACGAACCCCTTTGGCTTCTTCCGTACCCCGTCGGTAGTTTATCTCCCGTAGGAGTTTTGGGATATGTTTTTGCAGGTTTCGGTAGTCAACTGGGATATGTTTCCTAAGTTTAGTATTTTCTTTTCCTTTTTGTTTACGTAGGTTTTGTATTTTCTTTTCCTTTTTGTTTACGTAGGTTTAGTATTTTTCTTTTCCTTTTTGTTTACGTAGGTTTAGTTTGTTTAGGAGTATATGTATGTAGTTTAGTTTAGTTTATATATGTATGTATTACTAAGTATAACGTAGGTTATATGTATACGTAGGTAGTTCAGTTTATATATGTATGTATTACTAAGTATAACGTAGGTTATACTATTATTATATTTTCGTTATTTAGTTAATTATTTACTAAATGTGTATAAATTGGCCCAATTACAATTAAATCAAGTAAAAATAGCTAAAAATATTATTTTCCAATTCTGGTTGGTCCGAATATGTATATTTATACTAGGTATTTAATTTATATTTTTCCAGATTTTATTTATTTCATTTACTATTTTATTTTTAATTTTTTTTTGCAACTGGGCCGAACTGGCCCAAATTTAATTTTTCTGGCCCAACCTGAAAAAGGCCCAAAATAGACCCCAGCAAATTTCTGGGTTGTCTTCTTCCCCAGGTCGCCGGAAAACGGGAAGAAAGAAGGTGGGGGGGGGGGGGGGGGGGGGGGCTTACCTCGTCGGACGGGTGAACTGTGGTGACAGAGCACTCCCTCGGGACGGCGGAGGTCTGAGATGGTCCGTCGGCGGCGGTGGCAGCTCTCTTTTCTTGCTCCGTTTCCCGTCGCAAAATCAGTCCGGCGAATACTCCGGCGAGCTTGTTCTCCCTACTCCGACGTCCGTTTTCCACGATTCTTTCTCCGTTGGATTCGTCTCGCGAAGGGGAAGGTTTGAGAAGTATTTTCACGGCTTGGTTCTGGCTAAAACGATGGGTCGCAATTTTTATATATATATATATACGTATATGTGTATATATGTTGCAGGTTTTCGGGATGAAGGAAACGCAGGTTCTGGCCTACTATTTATAGGGAAAGATGAGGGTTTTAGGCTGAGATGTTAGAGTTTGTGACGAACCCCTTTGGCTTCTTCCGTACCCCGTCGGTAGTTTATCTCCCGTAGGAGTTTTGGGATATGTTTTTGCAGGTTTCGGTAGTCAACTGGGATATGTTTCCTAAGTTTAGTATTTTCTTTTCCTTTTTGTTTACGTAGGTTTTGTATTTTCTTTTCCTTTTTGTTTACGTAGGTTTAGTATTTTTCTTTTCCTTTTTGTTTACGTAGGTTTAGTTTGTTTAGGAGTATATGTATGTAGTTTAGTTTAGTTTATATATGTATGTATTACTAAGTATAACGTAGGTTATATGTATACGTAGGTAGTTCAGTTTATATATGTATGTATTACTAAGTATAACGTAGGTTATACTATTATTATTACGCAAGTGTATACATATATTTTACGTATTAGGAGTATTTAATTATTCAGTTTGTACTTTGTACACTAAACAACTTAAAATAGTTTTATAAAATAATTTTATACGAAAATGCTACTTTTATTATCGGATCATTTTTATCTGATTAAAACGTCGTAAATTTGAAAATTTTATCCGGTTAGAATGTTACACTGTTGAAATTTTGTTTGACTCACTTAATAATTAAAATGTTATTTTCGTAATATTTTATCTGACTAATAAAAATTATTTTTATTTTTATTTCAATTTTTGAAGTGTCACATTCTACCCTCCTTAAAAGATGTTTCGACCCGAAACATTAACTAAATCTAAATAATCAAATTCTTAAGTATTACATTCTACCCCCCTTAAAGAGAGGTTACGTCCTCGTAACTAATATTTTACCTTAGTCGAATAATTCTGGATAACGTTTGCGCATATCCTCCTCAGTCTCCCATGTGGCATTTTCGGCCAAATGGTTAGACCACAACACCTTCACCATCTTAACTGCTTTTCTTCTAGTCTCACGAGTCTTAGTATCCAAAATCTGGATCGGCCTCTCCTCGTAAGTCAACGATTCATCCAACTCGACCACCTAAGAAAGTCGAGGTTAGATGTGATACTTTGATCCTACTATCATAAGGTTACGATTCGTACCTCGGGGCTAAGAATATGGGATTCGTCGCGGACATACTTCTTCAATTGGGAGATATGAAAGACATTGTGTACCTACGCATAACACACTTTAGTATTTGAGAGATATTTACTAAGGTATTCACTAACGAGTGGTTATAGTATGTTATACCTTAGCCAACTCGGTGGGTAGAGCTAGACGATATGCCACTCTTCCCACTCGCTCGAGGATGTCATATGGGCCAATTAACCTCGGGCTTAGCTTTCCCTTCTTTCCAAATCTCATTACTCCCTTGGTCGGGGAGACTCTGAGTAGGACTTTCTCTCCCGCTTCGAATTCGGTTGGCTTCCTTCCCAAGTCTGCATAAGACTTCTGACGATTTTGTGCAGCTTTCATCCTTGCTTGAATCATCTTCACTTTCTCTATGGTGTCTTGGAGGTAATCCGGCCCTAACACCACTTGATCTTCCATGTCACTCCAGCATAGTGGGCTTCTACACTTTTGACCATATAGAGCTTCGTACGGGGCCATTTTGATACTGGCGTGGTAGCTATTGTTGTATGAAAACTCTATTAAGTCTAAGTGTTCGTCCCAAGATCCTTGTAGGTCTAACATACATGCTCTCAGCATGTCCTCGAGTGTTTGGATGGTTCGCTCCGTTTGTCCATCAGTCATTGGGTGAAATGCAGTACTCAGCTTCAGCTTCGTCCCCATAGCAGCTTGCAACTCCTTCCAGAATTGAGATAGGAATCTGGAATCTCGGTCAGAAACAATGTCTTGAGGAACTCCATGGTACTTAACCACGTGCTTGATGTAGGCTCAGGCTAACTTCTCCATGCTCCAAGTCTCGTTCATCGGGATAAAGCGAGCGGTCTTTGTTAACCGGTCGACTATAACCCAAATTTTGTCATGGCTAGACTTGGTTAGGGGTAAGCCCCCAACAAAGTCCATGGAGATGGAATCCCACTTCCATTTTGGCACTTCCAAGGATTGCACGAGTCCCTTGGGCTTGCAACGTTCGGCTTTCACCTTCTGGCAGTTCAAGCATCGAGCCACGAATTCAGCTACCTCTTTCTTCATGTTCGGCCACCAAAAATTCTTTTTGATGTCTTTGTAGAGTTTGTCGCCTCCAGGGTGCACTGAGTAGGGCGTGTTGTGCCCTTCCTCCATGATTTTCTTCTTAAGCTCTTCGCATTTCATCGGAACACACCATCTTCCTTTGTGTTGAATGCTCCCATCTTCGTGCAATTTGAACGGTCCGTTCACGCCATTTGTCATACCGGCTCGGATTCTATCCAACTTGATATCTCCAGGTTGCCCTTCTCGAATTTCGTCGAGAATAGATGGGGTAACGGTCATGGTGAGTAACCGCGTTTCCTGATCTACCTCTCCGAAATCACGAACTTCCAAGTCTAGCTTCTGAAAGTCCCGATATAGCTCATCAGGAAGTATCCATGTTGCTTTGCAGGAGTGAGTTGATTTTCGGCTCAACGCGTCGGCAACTACGTTTGCTTTCCCTTCATGGTACTGGATCTCCAAGTCATAGTCTTTGACGAGTTCTAGCCAGCGTCTATGTCTCATGTTAAGCTCCTTTTGGGTGAAGATGTACTTCAGGCTCTTGTGATCGGTGTAAACTTTACAGTGTACCCCATAGAGATAGTGCCTCCACAGCTTTAGAGCAAAGATAACCGCTGCCAGTTCTAAGTCATGAGTCGGATAGTTGACCTCATGTGTCTTCAGTTGCCTTGATGCATAGGCCACCACTTTGCCGTTTTGCATCAATACGCAACCCAATCCCTTTAAACAAGCATCGGTGTAAATCTCGAACCCTTCAGTCCCAGATGGTAGGGTCAAGATAGGTGCAGTTGTTAATCTCTGCTTCAGCTCTTGGAAAGCATTCTTGCACTCATCACTCCATATGAACTTCGTGGTCTTCTTCGTGAGATTAGTCAAAGGCTTTGCTATCTTTGAGAAATCCTTCACGAATCTGCGATAATAGCCTGCCAAGCCTAGAAAGCTCCGGACCTCCGTCACGGTTGTGGGTGCAGGCCAGTCTATCACTGCTTCGATTTTGGATGGGTCAACGGATACACCTTCTTGAGTGATGATATGGCCCAAGAATGCGACCCGGTCCTTCCAGAAATCACACTTTGAGAGCTTGGCGTAAAGCTGATTTTCTCTCAAAGTCTGCAGGACGAGCCTCAGATGCTCTTCGTGATCCTTCTCGTTCTTCGAGTACATCAAAATATCATCGATAAACACTACCACAAATGTATCAAGGTATGGGCGAAATACACGGTTCATTAAGTCCATGAATACTGCTGGTGCGTTAGTTAAACCAAACGGCATCACGGTGAACTCATAATGCCCATATCTTGTACGAAATGCAGTCTTCGGTATATCATTCTCTGCGATCCTCACCTGATGGTAGCCGGATCGAAGATCAATCTTGGAAAATATACCCGCTCCCTTCAGTTGATCGAACAGGTCATCTATGCGAGGTAGCATGTACTTGTTTTTGATGGTCGCGTTGTTCAGCTCCCTGTAATCGATGCAGAGTCTCAGACTTCCATCCTTCTTCTTCACAAATAAGACCGGAGCGCCCCAAGGTGAGACACTCGGTTTGATGTAACCCTTCCCCAACAGTTCCTCGAGTTGTTCTTTTAGCTCTTGCATCTCCTTCGGTGCCATTCGGTATGGTGCTTTTGAGATGGGTGCGGTGCCTGGCATTAGATCTATTGAAAACTCAACTTCCCTCTCTGGAGGCATCCCCAGAATTTCTTCTAGAAACACGTCCGGAAATTCATTGACCACAGGGATTTGGTCAATGGTTGGACTCTCGGACGTCAAGTCTTTGATCATGCACAAGAAAACCTCATACCCCTTCCGGACGTATCGTTTGACTTGTTGCATGGTTGCCAGCTTCACGTCTGGCTTGGATGTGACCGTTTTGTAGGATATACGTTTCTTATTGGGTCCTCTTAAGACCACCTTTTGTTCATCACATAGGATTTTGGCTTTATATTTCCCTAGCCAGTCCCTACCCAACACCACGTCGATATCCTCCAAGTCAAACTGGATTAGATCTTCGGGTAGTTCAAATCGGATATGACTATGGAAATATTGGAGAAAACATTCCCACATGCTACAACTTTGTTGGATGCCGTTTTTACATTAAGATTAAGTCTAGAGCTAGGTTCTAACTTTGACTTTTCCACAAATTTTGAGGCTATAAAACTGTGGGAAGCACCCGAATCAAATAGTACATAAGCAGGTGTGGAGTTTACAAGGAAGGTACCTGATACCACATCGTGCGCATTTGCTTGAGCCTGGTTCATGACGTAAATCCGGCCCTGGGTGTTGTTCTGCCCTCCCTGGCCTTGATTACGGTTGGCCTCCGTTGGGCGGTTTCCAGGATTACCACGGTTGTTGTTGGCGTGATTATCCCCACCCCCGGCTTGGTTGTTTCCCTGGTTTTGTCCCTGGTTCGGGGGTTTCATTCACTCGTATGCCCGATGCCCCAAGAGGTTACAGTTGCGACACCTCACCGCATTTCCTGCGCAATCCTTCCCGGGATGGTTGTTTGGGCATAATTTGCATCTATGGTGTCGCATCTGAGTTGGCTGGTTTCTCCCCTGCCCCTGGTTTTGGAAATTTCCTCCACCTTGATTGATTTGCCTTTGCTCAGGGCGGTCGGTTCTGGCCTTCTTTTGTTGCTGATCCACCTCAGCATTCTTCCGATCTCTCTTATGGGCTTCTCTCTCCTTCTGGTGTACTAGATAGTACTTACCAGCCTTCCTATAAGCTTCGTTCAAATTCCGCGGCTCCGCTACCGTCACGAACTTTTGGGACCCGAAATTAAGCCCGTTCACAAACCTGCGGGTCATACTGGCCTCTGTCGACACCAGGTCCTTGGCAAAACGAGCCAGTTGAACGAATTTCGTGTGGTACTCCTGAATGGTCAGGTCACCTTGTTTAAAATTGACAAATTCTTCATAATTTGCTTCCTTCACGTGATCTGGGTAGAAGCGATCCCGCAACGCTACTATGAAGTCCTCCCAATCGAAGCCCGGTTGCCCGAGAAGTGCTGGTCCGTTGGCGGCCCACCAGTGGTCCGCTTCTTTTTGCAGATAATACACCGCAATATTCACCCGTTGCTCCGACGGGCAATTCAGTGAATCAAAGAGCTTGTCGAAAGTGCGGATCCAATCCTCCAAGATAAGATGGTCCTCCTCGCCCAAGTATTTTGGAGGGTTCCGTCCGACTACCTTTGTTGCGCAATCGATCATAGGGTTTTGGGGTTGAGCTGCTCCGATGAGCTGCGCCATTCGCTGGACAGTTTGGGCCAGCTCGTCGACAGTTGGGGTCGCATGGATGTCTCTTCTCGGCGGCATGACTCTTAATAAAGAAAACGTGTACTAAGTTCTAAGGCATGCATAAGGCTTCTACGTTATACAAGTTCTCTACTATCTTCAAACAGATAAACACATACAAAGGATCTTACTTACTCCACATACTTCACATAAGCACGAATTTCATGCATTTCATAACTCAATAACTTCGCAAAGGTTTCTCCCTCTCACCGCGTCCTAAAAGGTCTTTTTCCTAGTATGTTAATTCTCCTAATTTTACAAAAACATTTTGAAAAAATCCCCGCATCGAAACTATAGTTTTCGTCAAAGATTTCGAACAATGAAGTTTCAGCACAAGGAGAAATTCCCAGTTAGTTGGACGAGCGCAAGGCTCAATTAGGCACCAACTAGCTTAGACTGTTATCGTCTTTGTGACAGAATTCCTCCCTACGACCTATTACCTCGTGTTCTAGTCCCTTCGGAAAACATAATCTCTGATACCAATTTGTAACACCCCTAAATTTCCCGCCCAAAACATTGATATATTTTAAAAGAAATACTTTATTCATTCATCAAAGAGTTGAAGAAATACAGCGGAAGTCTAAAAGGGAAATGAGTGTTACCGCCACATTCGGTCATCTCTTAACCGAATGCACAGGCAACTCAAAGTAAAACAATAAAAACTAATAATAAGTAAATGTGTATTTCAGACTAGATTTAACTAAGGCATCTTCTAATTCGCACTCAAGCTCGAACAATCCGTCAATCCACATAGGCATCCAACTCATCACCTGATAAAATTTAAGGGAGAAGAGAGAGACAAGAGAAATAACAAAAATTAGCTTTAGAGCTAAGTAAGTACTACCCAACCCCGTAAAATAATCAGGTTTGATGAAAATAGATTTTTATATAATATCATATAAAAATGACGCACTCCACCAAAATACTTTTCTCTTTGATTTTTCTTAAAATTACTTCTTTACTAAAATCATCAACTTCTCTTCGAAAATCTCTTAGTATTTCTTCTCTTTAAACTTCTTAAGAAAATCACTTCTTCTCTAACTTCCTAGTAATTTAGAAGGGCGGTGCTTAACCTTTCGGTAGAGCCCGGTGGACCGTGGTTACGGACGGCCACCCCGAACAAGTGCCGGTACCACAACTGCTCTGTTGGAAACGAAACGACTACCTTAAGTGTGCACACCCCCTAAAAGGGATTCCAAGCCCTCCGAGTAGTAAGTCATCCCGAGTGGTCGGAACCCAACCACCCCAAATTCTTAAATTCTTGAATGATTAGGGACTACTACTATAACTTCTTCTTAAAAGGGATCATAGATCCAAATCTCACTTAAAAGGGATCATAGATCCAAATCTTGCTTGAAACTTAAACTGTACTTAGTAGTAGTAGCTCTAATCACCCTCCACATTTATCCGGATGTGGAAAAACCGACACCTCAGATTACTCCCGAGATGCTCACTTCTTATGAAAATGTAAATTTTATCTTCGCTTAATAATACTTCAAAAATACTTCTTAATTTTTCTAAAAAGTCTCAAAGGTTTTTAAA